TCCTGTTTCTTAATACTCTGTTTAACTTCTGGAAGGCATCTTTCTCTATTTCAACGTGCCTTCAGATTTTGGTGTCACATTTTCTATAGTCTGTTTTTACACGACAGAATTTGTTTAAAAATGCTATTATTTCTTACATAAGTTAATTTAATATTTTTCTGTATGATATTGTTATTCATAACAACAGCTGTACTGATGATAAAATATAATTTTTTATCAGTAATCTGTGTTTCTGTTTTTAAAAGGTATTTTAAAAGATTATGCAGAATTTTAGTTTAGTCCACCACGGAAAACATACAGTAGGATCAAATATGATATTTTATCCTACAAAATGAATGAAAAATAATTTATTAAGAACGTTGTTATGTTAAATTGATGCCATATTTAAATTCAATAAGTTTAATCCGATATTTTTAGACATTGTAAATGTTGAATAGAAAATGTTAACCTCCAACCCTGCTACGAAACCACGCATTTTTCGGTCGAATTTTAAGATACTTCTATAATCTTAAGAAATTATATTCAAGATAAAATATGTCAGCATAAAAATAATTTATTTTTAATCAATTAAATAATTTACTATCTATATTTCTCATGTTGTCTGTCTGTGTGTCTGTCGTGGGCGTTGTTACCTCGCCCAGGCCGCATTTCTCACCCGATTTCTATGCGGTTTTCACCACAAGTTTGCAAATGGCTGCCTTAAGTACATGACGCAGCCAGATTTTTCAGTTCGGACTCAGGTTCCGAAAAAATCGATAATCGAAAAAATCGATAATCGAAAAAATCTGCTTACAGAAGGAATTATTGCATTTCAACCAAATTTGACACCCTCTTAGAGTCTACCTTTAGAAGTGTTGTCCAGAAGTTTCATGACCGCGGACCCCTAAACAGCGCGGAAAACCCAAAATCCGATACGCCCAGATTGCACCTGAACCGCATGTCGGTTTTTAGCGAAAACCGATCGGATTTATGAGGAGGCCATTGGGAGTCATCATATGAAGTTTCAACTCTGAGCGACCCCCCCCCCAAACAGAGTGAAAATGGACAATCGGTCAACCCTTAAAAATGTTTTTCCGGTTGGGTATTTCCTAAATGCAGATTAATTTAAGGTCACGCTATGCGCGGGAAGAAACAGGTTAGTGCGTGCAGTGCTGTATGAGTCGTACAATTTTTGAATCAAGCACGGGTAACGCCGGGCCATGCTTTTAGTAAACTAAAAAGTTACTTTCATGTATATTTTGTTTCATGTCATTTTCAGACATTTAAACTTCTCTACTTGCTTGATTTTGATATCTCCAAAACTGTAGCTATCATCTTGGGCTGCTCCTCTTGCTGATAACCACAGATCATATCTTCTTACAATTGGTGGTTAGTTCTTTCTTCCAGCTTTCCTTTAATACTTTGTCTAGAAATCCTGCAGGTTTCTGTCTGTGTCTGCTATTATGAAACTTTAAACTATTGTTCATATAATAAAAGGTAAAATATATTTCCTTGAGTGGTTACTGCGTGATTTTGCCTGGTGACCCCTTGACATGAGGCCCATGGTTATCCAATCTTGAGGCTAATTTACTATATGGCAGTAAATGCTGGACAATTACCTCACAGATGAAGAAAAACTTGAAGCAACAGGGATGTGCATAGAGTATAATAAAAACACCATGGAAATAACGAGGATGTTTTAAGGAAAATGCGAACAAAAAAAAGATACTTTACTTAGAATCAGAAAAAGATAGATAAACTTTATGGGACACATAGAGGGTAGAGGGCTTGGAGAATTTGATACTCACGAGGCAAGAGGTGTAGAATTGAATACTGAGTAAGCTATCAAATGAGTTTGTGTAAACAGTCGATAGAACAAAGTGGGAGGCCAAATATTGTTTAGAGCTACAAAGGATAGGAAGTAGTGGAGAGCCATGAAATTCAAAAGATTTTTACCTGTATATTATTACTGCCATGCTCATAAGTACTGTTTTCTTTTCCCCTCAACCATTTTTTCTTTCTCCTACTGTTTTCTATTTTGTTTTTTTATTTCCCTTCTCTCTATCTCTGTATGCACTTTTCTCTCTCTCTCTCTCTCTCTATCTCTGTCTTACTCACTCACTCATACACACACGCACACACACACACTCACTCTCTAATTTTGAACTTTTGTAGTATATCTTTCTTTCACTTCCTGCTTGCAACTTTCGATCTCCGTTTATTTTTCTCTTTCGGTTTCCTTCTTTCAAAATCCACGCCCAACCTTCAGACCTCGAATGTCGAAAAACATTAACTTTGTTATTGACGTCATCTTCTCCTGAAATTGTCAGAGCCATTGAACTTTGGGAAATCGTAACGCCGAGAATATAGTTGAATAGCGAAAAGAAAAGAAAAAAAAAAAACGAGATGGGAAATTATGAAGGAAAACAGAAAAAAAAAAAAAAAGAAAGAGGGAAATAAGAAATAAAGAGAAGGTGCCGAAAGATAGATAAAAAAGAAAAAGAAAAGAAAATTAAGACAAGCGTGAAGATGTCAAACAAAACCTATGAATAAATTCCTTAAAAGTAAGCATAATGAAATAGAAGACGTCGCTGAAAAGTTCTCGGCCCAGCCAAGAAGCAATCCCAAAATAAATGCTAAGATCAGATCATGGCTTACATTTCTGGGAAAGTTCCGAGAATTTTTCAGTACACATTTGCCGTAGTAACAAATAAATAACAGGCCTCGATGGTTGAAGTAGTTTTGAAAAAAAAATCAGAAAAAAAGACAATGGTGAAAGTAGACATCAGTAACGAGAAGGAAAATGAATCGAAAAGGACGACAACGTAGTGGTAGAAAGAAAAAGAGCAAGAAAATAAATAAAAATACCTAAGTAAAAATAAGTAAGACTGGGTGTGCGGTTGGTGTAATGAATAAATATTTGGAATGAGAAATCGGAGAGTCGATTTCAAATTCCAGTCGGGTTCGATACTTGCGTGCAAATATACTTGGGAAAGGTATGAATCTATCTCTTCTCCGCCTAGCTATGGGTTAAATAGTAAGACTTATATCAGAAATGAATTATCATCTCCAAAAATGTCATACGATCTAAAAATATGTTTCGGCTTTAAATAACCTCAAAAATGCTGACGATACGTAAAAAACAACAATCAATCAATCGAGACATAGTAAAAAAACAAATGAAAACAAAGACAAAAGGATACTCGAGAGGGGAAGGAGGAAGGGAAAAGAGGAAGGGGAGGAGGAAGAGGAAGAGGAAAAGACATTGGCAGGGAAACATGAAAAGAAGAACGCAGTTGAGTAGAACTCGACATAAAATTAAATGGAGACAAATACCGAAAAGAAAAATGGAAATGAGATAGGAAAGACGATAAGTCAACAAAAGGGTTTCAAAATTGGAAGGTACGAAATGACAACGAAAAAAAAAGGGGGGGGAGAAGAAATAGAATCGGAAGGGGAAAAAAAAGATACAAAACAAGATGAAAAACGCGGGAAAAGTGAAAGAAGAAGAAACCGAAAAAGAAGACGAAAAAGAAGCAAAAACAAAAGCTGAAAAAAAAAAAGAAGGTAAGCGTCGATAAAGAGGGCGAAAAGGAAGTCGAAAGAGAAGGCGAAAAAGAAGTTGAGAAAGAAACAAAAATTGAACTGTAAAGGAAGCCGAAAAAGTACTGTAAGGAATAATTGGGAAAAGAAGGTTAAAAAAAAAAAGCAAAGAAAGATCCCGAAAAAGAAATCGCGAAAAAAAATTGAAATGGAAAAGAAGGCGGAAAAGAAGAAGCTGAAAAATAAGTCGGAAAAAGGCGAAAAAGAAGACAAAATTAGCTGAATAAGAAGTCGAAAAAAAGTCGAAAAAGAAGACAAAATTAGTTGAAAAAGAAGTCGAAAAAAAGGCGAAAAAGATGACAAAATTAGTTGAAAAAGAAGAAAAAAAGGCGAAAATGAAGACAAAATTAATTGAAAAAGAAGTCGAAAAAAGACGAAAAAGAAGTCGAAGAAAAAGGCGAAAAAGATGACAAAATTAGTTGAAAAAGAAGTCGAAAAAAAGGCGAAAATGAAGACAAAATTAGGTGAAAAAGAAGTCGACAAAAAGGCAAAAATGAAGACAAAATTAGTTGAAAAAGAAGTCGAAAAAAGACGAAAAAGAAGTCGAAGAAAAAAGGCGAAAAAAGACAAAATTAGTTGAAAAAAAGTCGAAAAAAAAGGCGAAAAAGAAGACAAAATTAGTTGAAAAAGAAGTCGACAAAAAGGCAAAAATGAAGACAAAATTAGTTGAAAAAGAAGTCGAAAAAAGACGAAAAAGAAGTCGAAGAAAAAGGCGAAAAAGAAGACAAAATTAGTTGAAAAAGAAGTCGAAAAAAAAGGCGAAAAAGAAGACAAAATTAGTTGAAAAAGAAGTCGACAAAAAGGCAAAAATGAAGACAAAATTAGTTGAAAAAGAAGTCGAAAAAAAGACGAAAAAGAAGTCGAAAAAAAAAGGCGAAAAAGAAGACAAAATTAGTTGAAAAAGAAGTCGACAAAAAGGCAAAAATGAAGACAAAATTAGTTGAAAAAGATGTCGAAAAAAAAACCAATTAGAGGTGGAAAAATGAAACCGAAACACAAATAGAAAAAAAAAAGTCGAAAAATAAGGGAAAAAGAAGGAAAAGTAGAAAGGAAGAAATTTTGTAAATCAAATGACGACCAGAGTCAAGATCATGGTGTCTGGAGCTATGAAAAGTAGGTGGGGACATAATAAAGTAAAGATTGAAAAGCAGGGAAAGAAAATTAGATGAAGAAAATTTTTACTAGCTTAAAAAATAATTCGTGGAGGGCGAAAAGCAAAAAAAAATATTATCAACTGAAAGAGATTTCGTAATGGACTGGCAAGTGTGTGTATAAGTGTGAGAGATGAAGAAAAATTATAAAAAGGAAAGATTGTCCTCTCTGTGTCCCTACATGTGTAAGTGTAGACTTAACTAAATTTTCCCAAGTAAGTGAACACTTATACGTCAGTATGTGCGAATAGATAGATAGAAACTTACTTAGATAGAAAGAAAGAAAGAAAGAAAGAAAGAAAGAAAGAAAGAAAGAAAGAAAGAAACAGACTGATAGATATATAGACAGAAAGAAAGAAACAGATAGATAGATAGATAGATAGATAGATAGATAGATAGATAGATAGACTGACTTAGAAAGAAAGAAAGAAAGAAAGAAAGAAAGAAACAGACTGATCGATCGATAGATAGATAGATAATGAATAGATAGATAGATAGATAGATAGATGAATAGAGAGAAACTGACTTAGAAAGAAAGATGCAAACAAACAAACAGATAGATAGATAGATAGATAGATAGATAGATAGATAGATAGATAGATAGATAGATAGAAACTGGCTTAGATAGAAAGAAAGCAACAAACTGACAGATAGATATTTAGACAGAAAGAAAGAAACAAACTGATAGATAGATAGATAGATAGATAGATAGATAGATAGATAGATAGATAGATAGATAGATAGATAGAAACTGACTTAGAAAGAAAGATGCAAACAAACAAACAGATAGATAGATAGATAGATATGAATAGATAGATAGATAGATAGATAGATAGATAGATAGATAGATAGATAGAAACTGGCTTAGATGAAAAAGAAAGCAACAAACTGACAGATAGATATTTAGACAGAAAGAAAGAAACAAACTGATAGATAGATAGATGAATGATAGATAGATAGATAGATAGATAGATAGATAGATAGATTTTATGGCAGGTAGTTGATAGTATACAATATACTATACACTATATGGTTACCTGAAATTTTGCAATTATATGACCAAGTGCTAGTAAGAGTGTATAGCCACTATTTCATATGTGAAGAGCTTGAAATCCACATTTTGAAATCCTAACTCTCACTTACATTCAAACTCATGATGCAGATGCTAGAGGCAAAGACCTAAACTCCAAACAGTAAAACCTAGATTGATATCTAAAACTATAAATTAGGATTTTTCATGCGAAAGCATAAACCCACTTTTCAATGCGCTCTGCTTCAACACTAAATACGCTTAAGTTTAAGGTTAAGTTGGAATAAAAGGATAGATTGGAAAATTCATTCAAAATTCATTTGTTTTCGGAAGAAAAGAGAACAGGTTTGAATTAAAGAAGAGGTTGAAATAAACAGACATGCTGTAAAGAAATAAGTGGGAAATAAAACAAAACAGATGGAATATCAGCGGTTTGGTTCGAAAACAATCTACATTTAAATAGCCGGTTAGCCCCCGTCAATGATATATAAATTTTTATGTTCAAGAAAAATGTTAAGAAAATTATATGAACACAAAAGTGATCTTTTTACAAAACAACAAATCCAATGAATAAGTTATTCATCGTAATGAGTCTGGCCGTAACTTTGATTTAAAATGTTACCTCAATGAATCTAATTCAACTGGTTGTGAAACTGCTGGCACCGCAGAATCCACAGTACTAAAAAGATGCATTTAAACTGAAAAAAAATATTATGAAAACAATGTGAATACAATAATTATATATTTATATATATATATATATATATATATATATATATATATATATATATATATATATATAAAAGATCATTGCAAAAGTTGGAGCCTGATTATAAAATTTTACATATTGAAAAAAACATTTATTAATCAAGTACATAGTCTCCATTATTTTTAACTACTGTCTCTCATCGATCTACAAGCTTGTTGATGCCATTTCCTTGGTGTGGGGGGAAGAAGTTTCCGATATTTTTGTCATCTAAATTGTTCTGTAGTGACCGGGTCAAATGAAAATCCGAAGCTAAGTCAAGAGAATACGGTGGATGCTGGTATGTTTGCAATATCATTAAGCTTCCGCAAGGCCTGTTTTGCAACAAGCGGTCGTGCGTTGTCGTGATGCAAAACGACATCTTTTCGATTTGCCAAAATCGGCCGTTTTTCTTGAACCCATGTCTTTTCATCTGGCGAAAGACAGTTGAGATACCGATTTTCAAGCTCTTAACCATCTCCTCCGTTAACATCTTCAGTTTAATTCTCAACGATGGCAAAACAGAGCGTCTCCATCGTCATCGGAAGTTTACTCGGGGCGTGGATGATCGTTTAAATAACCCTTCTGAATGTTTTTATTTTTTTTGTCTCACTTCCAACGCTTACTCCTTTCTGAAATTCATACAGCATATGGCCAAAGTGCAACTTTTCATCCTGTGTTTTTAAAGTCATTCATTTGTGGACAAAATTTCAACTTTCTGTCTTTCAAGTGAATAATAAAAGATTTCAAAACAAATGCCTGTGTCAAGTCGAGGCCATGTTATATTAACAATGAAAATCTAGCACAAACTTTTGCAGACATCTGTGCGTGTAGAAATTTCGGGGGATTTATAGTAATCATATATAGTAATTGATCGAACCCAGAATAAACACATTATTCCGGACTATCAGCAGTGAGCATCCACTACCGAGAATCGAACCCCGGACCATTTCGAGACAACGCAAACGTCATACCAGCCGTACCACAGGCCTCGGTGACGAAGGGGGACACAAACTAGACTTGATATAGCGCCGCTACTCACTCAGTTACGCAGTAATACTCATCCAAGTATACGGATAACCTCGGAACAGTAACCCATGAGCTACGTCTGCTTATTGACCCTTAGCTGCTTCTCGCGAGCATTAGCTGGATCAAGCAAGGATATACAAGAGAAGAAATTGTTAGACATTTTCATGACGGTCGTCCTCAAGTATTGAATCCAGAGGTTGGCAGTGAATATTTCGGAGACAGTAGGAAAGCGTACTTTAGGTTCGCAGTGGATATCACAGCAGAGTGTAGTTCACCCTTCACCTGGTCGCCTTTGGTCCTTCCGGTAGGAGGAAACAAGATGGCCGCCTTTATACACGATGAATACAGTGTTGGGCGGCTTCTGATTGGTCAACCTTCTATTGGTCGACTATAAAGGGAAATAAGTCATTCTGACTCGATCACTAGTTATAGGTATTATATACCCAAAAAACCGTAACAGAAATTTGGGGGGATTTAGAGTAATCATATATAGAGTAATCATATATAATCTTCAACGGAATGCACTATTCCCTGATAAATATAAATAACTAGCAGCATGGCCCGGCGTTGCCCGTGCTTGATTCAAAAATCGTACGACTCATACAGCAATCGCTATCAATTGACTTAAAATATTTTTGCCCTTCCTTGCCTTTAAAGGAGTGCCCTTTGCTGTGATGATGTTACTACATGCCTTACTTATTGCCTATCTCACACTGTGGATTTTTTCTAAGCTCTATACTAAACATTAAATCTGTTACAAAAAAAAGAACTAAACAAAATGAACACAAAACGATCAGCTTTAAAAAAGGACTCGTAACTGGAAAAACCGAATGAAAAAAGAATGTTAACAACAAATACTTTTTCACACCCAACCCAGTTCTGCGGAATCAGAATCAGCGTTAAGTTTAAGCAAGCCAATTGGAGTAAAGTGCCATGCAGATTTAAATTTTTCCCACTTGTGACGAATGCAGCTATCGATTTTTTTGCATGCTAGCATGCTAGTTAACATTTGTGTCAGTCTGCTGTTGGCTCTCACGCTGGCCAATAGAATCTTCCTGCCTATTCGTGGCAGCCAGTTATAGGCTCTCACTCTGGCCAGTAGAAAATGGCTGCAAACTACATGAAAACTGTCGTAAAAGCATGAAAAAATCGATTATTTCCACTATCGATGTGAGTTGGGAAATGCAAAGTCGGTCTTGGCCTTTCAGCTAACTTGAAGCATGTGCATATAAATTTTGGTGCAAATCCGTCGAAAATTGCGGCCGTACATTCGTTACACACACACACACACACACACACACCCTACCTACCTTTTATAGATAGAGATTTATGATAGTAATAATAATATTATAATAATTTATATTTTATAAATTTTATTATAATTTATGATATAAAGTTGTGCCTTCTGGTCTTCATAAGATGTATATCGATCCGGCTAACCTACAGGGAATTTCGAATTGAACCCTTTATTTAATCTATGGAGGGGGATTAGATTGTTCTCGTTTCACTGTGCACGTCTTGCGATATCTCATCTAGTTCTTATTTTCGATACTGCTCAGTTATTACTCACCCTGTGTCCACTGAGTTAAAGTACACACTGCCCAGTCCTGGTATTGAACTCACAATTACTATATCATCAGATTGATGAACCCACATTTTAATCCATTAGACAATTGTCTATGCGGGTTTAATGAAGATTTAAACCTAATCTGCGCGCTGATAAGTGTTGCCGCTGCTTAACATACTTGTGTGCACACACCGAAGCTTTTCTCTTTTTGTTACAGCTACTGCTTCTGTTAAAGACTTAATGTCATTTGTCTTCGTTTAATAACGGCTCCCATATCATATTTATTTCTATGCTATGCCTACTCAGGAGATCCTCATAGACGTACATGATCAACCATGCCCTATTTCATTATCGCTTACCTCATTAAGATCTTTTGATGTATTTTTTTTTAAAGTGTTTCACTCCAAGCAAGGCGGGAAGCCACTAGCACACAAGGGGTTACAGAGAGTTGGAGCAAGAGCAAAGAGGAGTGATGGAAGAAAGGAGGAAGAGAAGGATAGGGGATAGATCAAGGCATCTGGAGACGTCGATTGACATTACATTTAAATAGTTGGCGATTATAGCTATCAGGGAAACAGGAAAAGGGGAGGGAGCTCCACAGGCGAGAGGTGCAAGACATGAAGCTATTGGAGTAGAAGAGATGGCTACATTTAACAGTTTAGAGTGAAAGGGTGAGAGCGAGATGCCAGCCTAGTTGAATGCTTAAGTTCATGAAGTCTAGGAACCAGCGAAAGCAGCTCATTGGAGCAGTTACCGTGAAAGTATTTGTAAAAAAGACCGAAGGAGGCGACAGCACGTCTTTGAGAGAGCGATTGCAGACGAGATGCTAGGTCAGGGCCAATTACATTGCATATCCGTCCCTGGATTTTATCAAGGACCTAGAGACAAACAGAAGGGGCTCCAGACCATATATGGCATCAATACCCCATACAAGGGCGGATGAGGTCCCTCCAGCATTTCTTTTGACTTGTTTCACGTTTATATTCTTTTCCACAACAGCAAGAAATTAAGTACACACATTTCTTGGTCATCTTCTCCCAGGTGTTAGACTTTAATTGGTAGACGTGATGACAAAACACTTATTAAATAGCATAAATATATATAAATCAGTATTGCATTGATCAAAATATCAGGAAAATTGAAAGCAATTTCAAAGCCGATGTGGACGTTGCATTAAACTATTGGTCGAATGTTTGGTATAGCATCAAGGTTTTTTTTGGCTCTAGGCGTTTGAACTGAGAACTTTTCAATACTCTCATGGCTTTGCCCTGAAAACGAATATTCAAGATGGTGACAAAAAATATGATCTTATAAATTTCGACCTATCCTATACAGAAAAAAAAATCTCCCTCGTTGTATGAAGAGTAGACAACCAATACGGTAGGCACACACACACACACATACAGATATTTGCAGGTACACAAAATGTATATTAAATTTTATATGTATACAGGTTGATTTTTTGCCAGATTTTCTTTCTTTTTAAGTAGTTCGCGCGTGTTTTGTTTCCTTGGTCTATATATCAGCCTATATGTGCGAGTCTGTGTACATTTAAGATTTATGGTATATGTGTTAAATAGGTGTACGTATACAGAAAAAAAACTCTTTAGACTAAAACAATAAGTAAATTTGAAGTAAAGTACGAAAATGCTTGAAAAAATAGGTGAAGCAAAGTATTGTATATAGATGTAGACAGGACATTATTGAAAGCCATATACATATGCACACACACACACACACACACACACACACACACACACATATATATATATATATATATATATATATATATATATATATATATATATTACAGGACATTACATGGACGTACATATATACATATATTATAGTATGTCGTATACGTTAATATATATATAACATGATGTAATGCATAGACATATATATATATATATATATATATATATATATATATATATATATGCACATTTATAGAATGATATACACGTTAATATATATGTATGAGTGTGTAGTTTTATACATTGAAAATCTATAAAGAAGGGTTGACGTGAAACACTGGATAAGTAGAGAGTGAATATTGGGGGGGGGCGGAATGAAGAGTGTGGGGTATGGATTTTAGGGTGTGTAAATTGTAATCTCAACAAGATAAAGAGTCGAAGTAATGAAATTTAAAACGGGGAGCAAAAAGAATTAAGGGTCGTAAATTGATGGGAAGAAAATAAATGGTGAATGATTTAAGATCGGAGAGGAAAAAATGAGGCGGTAGAAAACGAGAAAAAGTAGCGAGAGGAAAAGAGGAGGATATGTGCTATGATGACTTTTTAGAATGAAGGGGAAAGAAAAGAAGGAAAGAAGAAAAAAGGAAGAGAAAGAAAGGAAGGCGAGGAAACTTGCGGTAAGAGGAAAAAAAACGGAAAAACGAAGAAATGGAAGGATATAACGGGCAGGGAATTAAAAAGAGAAATAGATTTTAAAGGAAAAATGAAGAAAAATGATAGAATAAAAAGAAAAAAAGCAAAGAAATAGTAATTGAAAGAAAAGAAGGACAAAAAAAAAAGAAAAGATCAATTTTACACATAAGAAACGACTCAGAGGATGAGAAATATAAGATTAGAATTGAAATAAGAAAAGAAAAAAAATGGAGGAAAAAAATAACTGTCTCTCGATTATCTTTTTCATTTTTTACAAACACCCTCTTTCTTTCCCCTACCTGCTCTCTCTTTCTCTCTCTCTCACTCTCTCTCTCTCTCTCTCTTTCTCTCTCTCTCTCTCTCTCTTGTTTTGTCTTCTTCACTCAGTCTTTCCCTGACGTCCAAAGCGCGTGTGGTGTGTGAAGGTAGGAATGTTATGGGTATGAAAACTATTAAAAGGATAGGAAAATGGAGACATCAATTTCTTCTTAATATTTTTTAAATGCAAAAAATGGAAGAAAAAAGCAAATTTAATGCAAGTTCATAAAATGGAAAGTAATGTGATATATTTGAGTGGGTGTCAGAAATTTTAACGCAAAGTACTAAACACACACACATATGTATGCCTCATACATATATATATATATATATATATATATATATATATATATATATATATATATATATATATATATATATACATATACGTATGAGACAATTTAATATGTATACATATAGAATGAAAAAAGTTGTTTCTTAACATTTTCCAGTTTCATATTAATGTATTCTTTCCTACATGTTTAGATAATATATACACGCTTTAGTATGAATTTCGTATTATATATATATATATATATACTATTAATGTATTCTTTTATTCATGTTTATATATTCATGCTTTAGTATGCATTTTATATTTTCATATATATATATATATATATATATATATATATATATATATATATATATACAACAGGAATATATTTATTCTGTCCTGGCCATTATAAAATATATATATATATGTGTGTGTGTGTGTCTGTGTGTGTGTCTGTGTGTGCGTGCGTGCGTGTGTGTGTGTGTGTATGTGTCTGTAAGTACACAGATTGTATGAATTCTGTATTAAAAAAGAGATGAGGTAGTGTAATAGATATATAACAGAGAGAGCAAGATGAACGAAATATAGAGCAAGCCGAGAAAAATGAATCTCACTCAACTCAATATCGAGTTAATTTAACAAATTGATAGTATAAGTTACACGCAGACAATCTGTAAACAGACTGTCATCTAGGAAGAAAATGACTACTGCCACCGAGGTTCGAGCCTGGCACTCTGGACTTATGAATATATGTTTTTCCTCCAGGGATACAAACACCGGTACCAGGCCAATGAGTTGAGTGATTTACTGACTGACTATTCAGTAGAACTATCCAGTCGAATTCGTCTGCTTTATTGTGCGTCAATCATTTGTGTTTTGAATTAGGATTTTCCCAATATTAAGCCAAGCCGCATTACTAACAAGTTATTCACCGATATGCTTAATTATCTTTGGTTGACTTTTACTTCTTTGTCTTTGTTAATTTTTTATTTGCGATTGTAATTAAATACTGTTTTATTTTAACATTGAAGTCTTGAGTTATACTTAATCATTAATGGCGACCGTACGTCACAAGACAGTAAAAACCAAGATCCGGACATAATTTCGAACCTCTAAAAGAGTTTCATTATTGCCTTATTAAGCATGTAGCATCTAGCTCAGTGTTTGATTGGAGACTGCGCTTGATACTAAAATAATGGTTTTGCTTTTCTGTTGCGAAATGTTTGCGCTAAGATAAAATGCGTTTGATTGCTGCATCAATTATTTGCACCTCTCTGAGTTCTTTCGATAACAGTTTTTTCAGTTGCGGACTTGTCTGGATTTCTTTAATTTTGTCCGTAAATCTATGAATAAATAGTTTAATTATTGATTGAATGATTTGAAATGGTATTCATATTTTTGTTATTGATCATAAAAGCGATCTTTCTCAAAGATTATATCTTTCTTGTAAAAAGAATATATATATATATGTATATATATATATATATATATATAGTTGGATTGATGTGAGTTTGTGACCCTGGGTTTCACGCTTTTGCGACGGTTAGAAAAATTTTATAAATAACTAGCAGTAAGAGCCCGGGGATATAACAGTAAGAGATAAATCAAGTATCCACCATCATAAAGACTGAAAAATAAAATTGACAAAAATGATTGTTTAAGGTTGACGGACACGCATGTCTTAATGAGTTTTTTTTTTTTTTTACGAATTGGTCAAACCCAAACTCAAACAAAAACATTGTTTTCAATCGTTATGATTCTCCCAATTGAATAGAATAATTTTATAATTTTTAGTCTTGTAAATGGAATTTTTAAAGCATTCTGAATGTAAAAATAAAGAAAAAAGTGTGCAAGACAATAAGAAACACTACATGCCAAAAAAA